CTTTGATCTTCCCCATGTTCCCAACCAACTCTTTTTGTTTATCTAATTGCTGATCTCCCCGCTTTACCCCGTGAACCCTAGACATACAGCTTAGCAATGCAAAGCATAATTATGCACTGTCACGCAGCCTCCACCCCGCCCAAAGGGTGACGACGATCTTCAAAGACATCCTTTCCCTCAGTATCCAGTGCCCTTCATTTCTCCATCCATCACCTGCCTTGTATTTTGAATTGCCCCTTCACATTACCTCCTCTATATCCCAGCATGCTGCCTGTAATCCCCATAATTGATTTCCCAGTATCTCCATCACAGCAGTGACCTCTGATAACCCCGTTGACTTTAAGTGAACAGACTCCCCCAGAATTGGCAAGAGTCCACCACCCTGACTGACTCATCATGAATTCCCAGAGTGCTGCACTGAACCTGTAGGACTGACCATGGCCTACTCACTGGACTCTAATGATCAGGACCTCGCTTGGTCAAAGCATACAACTGGACCAATGAAATACCCGCTTAGACTTTCATGTCGGTAATTTCGCTATCTAGTTTCCCACCACCACATAGGAGAATTGCAAGGATAGCCAAGGAAGACAATGGTCTAGTGGTATATTCACTGGACTGTTAATTCAGAGACATTGGTAATATTCTGGGGACCTGGTTTTGAATCCCACCATAGCAGATTTGAATTCAATAAAACTCTGGAATTAACAGTCTGATGATGACCATGAATCCGCTGTTCGTTATCAGGAAAAACTCATCTGGTTGACTAATGTCCTTTACGGAAGGAAACTGCCATCCTTACCTGGTCTGGCCTACATGTGACTCCAGACCCACAGAAATGTGGTTGACTCTTACCTTGCCTATGGACAATAAATGCTGGCCTTGCTGGTGATGCCCTCATCCCATGAATGAATAAAAAAAGTTGCCTATAAATAAGATGAGAGTGGATAAGAGTAAGGTGTTAATTTTACTGCTCTCAGTGAGATTCTCATTACATTTTTTAAAACCTTGGATGAAAAATGAACTTTTCTCAATGTCACTCAGAGATAGTAAGAACTGCTGATGCTGGAGCTCCACACTGTGTTTTCCTAACATCAGGAATTTTTCTGTTTTCGCCATATTTTCCCACCCAACTTGCCAATGCCGATGTCATTCAGGGGCCAGAAGATTCCAGCCATAGAAACAAGGACTACAGCTTTTATTCCAGATGGATTGGGTATAATTGTTTGATGTAATCTGGCCATGCCAAAAATTGAAAAAGCAGAAGCAATTACTTAAATATAGCACACGTACGTCTCATGAAACACCTTAAAGGACTTCACGTACATGATGGATTTCCGTGAAGTATAACTATTAAGTAAAAGTTTATTAACAAAAGTAAAATAATAGAAGGAAAAAAAACAAAGGATTGAAATTTATTTAAGCCTATCTGCTTTCAGGAAAGTCGTGTGCAGTAGAGGTGGAGGTCTGAGCCTCACCAGCAAAGGCCTTAGGTCTTATCAGTATTTTGCCAATGAAACCAATTCTGAGTCTGGAGATTAGTTGCTGGTTTGATGCAGATGACATTCACTGACTGTGCCTTTTGCCAACAGTGGTCAGGTAAATCTGAACAGTTAGAGGCCATAGGGGTCAAGACATTAGGACCCTTATAAACTTGACCATGACTACTCATTGGTGATTGTCTGAGATAGCTGAACATTGTCCAAGACCATGTGACCAGTGGTCTATTTTGGCTGCTCATGGGGCAGAGGACATAATAATGCAAAACTGTACCATTAATCATGTCCATCCAATTTCCCCTCCGAAGACTAGTGAAGAAGAAGAAAACTGATGGATGCTCACAACAGAGCCACAATTTTTAACTATACAGATCTTTATACAACAGTTCCTATATACCTCACTACTCCCATTACAGTCATCCACCAAAAGCCTAACTCTTATTTTCCTCTCCACAGTTTAATTGGGATGGAGGGAGAAAAGTTGGGAAACAGCAAAACAAATATATTGAATAAATATTCAGCTAGTTCCTGGCCAATCATGAGCTTTAATTGTATTGTAAAGTATGGTGTACAATTTTCACCTTAATGCAGTTTTATGCACCTATGCTTCAGAAATAAATTGTCTTAAAAATGTTTTATGGTAATTTCAACAAAGTCAATGTTTCCTACCATTCTGTGTTTTGAAATGGGCCCAGTATACCAGTGAAAAATTAAGTGGAACAACAGAAACACATGATGTAAACAAGCTGCGTATTTGGCAGAAACTGTGATAGTATCGAGCTCTGAGTCTGTTGCAATATATTTAGTGATTCCACTTTCCAAGGCCTTGAAGAGTGAATTCTAAATACTGAAGTAGAAACAGAAAATGTTGGAACTACTGTGGAGAGAATGTTTATGCTTCAAGTCAATGACCTTTCATTGCAAATGTAACCATTCAGATATGAACTCTCTTTCAACAGATGCTGCCAGATCTATTGAGTATCTCCAGTATTTTTCTGTTTTTAGGTCAGATTTCCAGTTTTCCAGGTATTTTGCTTTTGTCTGAAAATTGAAGTCGTTTTACAAAGTTCCTGTTCCTTCATTTCTTCAGCATTTAAAAAAACTGTGTGAATTCAGAGATAGCAAGAACTGCCGATGCTGGAGTCAGAGATAACACAGTATGGAGCTGGAGAAACACAGCAGGCCAGGCAGCATTAGAGGAGCAGGAAAGTTAACGTTTCGGGTCGGATTTCTGAAGAAGGGTCCCAACCCAAATTGTCAACTTTCCTGCTCCTCTGATGCTGCCTGGCCTGCTGTGTTCCTCCAGCTCCACACTGTGTTATGTGTGAATTTAGATCTGATGCTAAACTGAAAGAGTAGCCTTCCATTGTCCTTAATGATAGAATCTGGATGGCAAGAGGTCATAGGGCCGGGAATGGGGAAGCTGAGCATAATAAAAAGGCTCCATTTAAATATTATCAAAGTGGCCATTTCAAGCAATTTCACCCTTATGATGATCAATAACTGCAACAACTTGCATTTATATAGTACCCTAACATAATAAACTGCCCCAAGGTGCTTACAGAAGCATTATCAAATGATAGTATCAAGCTAGATAAGGACGTATTACAGCAGGTGACCAAAGCTTGGTCAAAAAAGTTGTTTTCCAACAGCATCTTAAAGGATGAAAGAAAGGTTGAGATTATTTATGTATGATTTGATTGAAGTTTTCAAATTTCTGAAAGGTCTGCACGGAGTAGACAGGGAGAAACGATTCCTGCTCATAAATAGATCATGAATGAAAGGGTACAAATTTAAAATGGTTTGCAAAAGAAATGAATGTGACATAAGAAGGAACGTTTTCACACAGTGAATAGCTTGGGTCTGGAATGCACTGCCTGAAAATAAGACGGAGGCAGGTTCAAATTAAACATTCAAGAAGACATTAAATGATCATTGAAATAAAAATAATGTACAGCATTTTGGGGAAAGGGTAGGAGGATGGTTTAAAATCATGATGCTCATCGGAGAGCCAGTGCAGGCATGATGGGCCAAACTGCTGCCTTCTGCAACATTATGATTGTGTAATTTCCTCTGCAGTTTACATCCTCCAAGCCATTAGTTACTAATATGTTGCCTTTTTCCTAGTAACTCCTGTGTCAACGCACTATTTCACATAGCTGTTTGATTATTTTCTTTATTTTGATCCTGAAGTGGATGGAGTTGACTCGAGATGGATGATTGAAGATCTGTAGCAGAGCTGGCAGCTGAGACAGTCAACTACTACCCAGTGGATTTCTGATGTCTGCCTCACCCATCCTGTCTGATCAACAATCTCAGTCCCAATCTCAACAGTGTCTGGGAGTTTATGTTGTCATTGACATGTAGGGGTTTTCTCTTTGCTGTTGTTAATCACGATATGGAAATAGTTCAGACAATTATTTCCAACCTGTGCCATATGTACTTGGTCTCCCCTGATATGTGAATTACCCTTTTTACCTTTTTTATACTTTGCATTTCCCAAACATTTGTACACTGTTAACCACTTGTCTTCGAGAATGACAGCAATGCACTTGTACGGAAAAATATCCTGTAAGATAGAGGCGGATAAATATAAAAGTTCCAGCTTATTTACTGGTACAACTAGATATTTAGGTCTAAAGAATCTGTTTCTGGTGCAACCGTAACTGATGTTTACAGTTCTCTCAGTACCTTGTAATTTTGAACATTTGATTAATGTTTTCATCTACAGATTCTCTTGAGCTGAAGCTGCTGTGAAACAGATGAAGTTTAGTTTGAATTTTATAGAACTCATAAAGCAAAATAAACAGTCAAATTACAAACAAGCCCAAAATTCAAACGCAACTTAAAAACATTTGGAAATTAACTACCTTAAAATGAAAAATGAGCACAAACAAAATAAAACAAATGAAAGGGTTAAGCTTATTTTAAATGACAGGCTTCATGGACGCTTGAATTTGGGCACTGTATAACCTCAAGATTCTGTGAATATGCTGTGATTAGTCTATATATAGATGGTATGGCTCAAGTCTGGAGTATGCGGATGCTGTGGTGTTTGAATGGCCTGGGGTTGTACCTATCATCCTACAACAGCCAAACCAGTCAGATAGTAGCAAACCCTGGGGAATCAGCCTGAGTCATTTCAGCAGCTTGAGACTCAATAAATACAGACTCTGGAGGCTTAGGAGCTGAAAGTGTAAGTCTGCAACTGAATTCAACTGTCATATTTTCTGAAGGGATTTAAAGTTTGAGGAACAGTTTTAGCCATGATTATCAAAAAACTGTACTAAAGTTGCAGCACTTTTTTTAAGTTTCTTGAAATTCTTTCTCCTCTATCAATGTCTGTAATTTAATTGCAGCAGATACAATTCATCTAAGGAATATTAATATCCAATTACATGATTGTGAAGCATTTTGGAAAAATTTTCAATACGGTTCAAAATATTGAAATTTTCCATCTATAACAAAAAGTATCAATTGAAAGAAACAAAATTATTGGTTATGGCTGGAATGCGGAGGGGTGACAAGACAGTTTTTCTTCTGATCTGCTTATTGGGACTGTTTCTGGACTTGGTCAATGGCAGCTTGGTGAAGCAGCGGTCTCATTCGAGCTTTATCCATCGGAGGCTAAACAGCAGGGAGAGACGAGAAATGCAGAAAGAGATCTTGTCTATTCTGGGCTTACCTCGGCGTCCCAAACCTTTGCTTTCTGTCAAACGCTCATCATCTGCTCCAGTCTTCATGCTGGACCTTTATCGCACCATGGCCAATGAAGAGTCAGACAGGTGGCAAGGAGCTTCATTGCCTTTTCATGTGTTCCAGAACACTCGGAGACCTCTTGAAGAGACCTTCCTCAGTCAAGCAGATACCATTATGAGCTTTGTCAACGTAGGTAAGTTTGAAAAGAAAAAACCTTGTGAATTACATGTGTCCAGTCCACATTTTTAATGAATTGAATGCCGACATGGTCCTCTGCCAACACTTGTTGTAGGCTACTTACACTACAGAGTTTGGCTTCTCATTGGTGTGTAATTTGTAGTGTTATCTGAGCATGAAGTCAATTTAATGGTGTTTTACATTTTAGAAAACGTGATGCCAGTTAGTGGAAGTAATCTCAGCACTTTGGTTTCACAGCGGCTGCAGTTTAACTGCAAACTTAACAGTAATGCAGGGTGGCACGGAACTATTGTCCTGGTGAGGATTTTCTGAATTCATTCAATGCAGAGTAGAAGAAATGTTCGCTGTGCAGTGTTGTATAGGCACGGATGTACTACTGACACTCAATGCTTCCATCTGTACAGTGACCTCAAGCACACATGTATCAGCTAACTTCAGATGGATTCTCATATATGGGTTTGCATATGATAAAATGTTTTGAAAAAAAGGTCAACAGTAGTCCTGAAGATTATTGTGTTAGTTTCCTTTTGACAATGTGTAGCTTTTAAGTTGTTAACTGTAACTGGGTAGCTGGCTTTTTTATGTTCCTTGTGAAAAAACGGTTTCATTTTATTAGAGTTTGTGATTCCTATTTTATTGGATTAGAAAATGTTTATAACTGCAGTTGCTATTTTGGACATTCCACATATTCCTTTATGGAATAAACCTTCAGGTGACCTAAGTGCGTCATATGGGAATCACATGGTTTTATAGCAACAGTAGGTTCCTTCCACTAATTCCTAATATAATGATACTATAACATCAGGTTGTAAATGTTGGATTAATATAAGATGATAATTGTTTTCTTCAGAACCCAATGGAGCTCACTACCAATTTAAGAAAAAATTGTGGGAGTTACAGAGTACCTGTAATTAACTTAGGATGGGGATCTGAATGGTTGTGGTTTTGTCAACACATGATAAAATCCAAGCACAACTTAACACTTGCCTAACCATGAAGTATGAATGTGCAGCACATAGCCTTCTGTAGTTTCCATGGGTTGAATCTTGTGTTTTTTAGCTGTCAGTTTTGTCAGGTTTCATGGACAGTTTCTCTCCATGAGGCATAGTACATTTTCTCGCTACATGTCACCAAATGCACCTCATTAGCTAGCCACCCCACGCCCATGCAGCCTCCCTCATCTGATTCTAGCACCATTCTACCATTTGCTGTACCCAGAAGAACTCACCATTGTGGGTTATTCTAGAATGGACCAACATCCCTGGCATCGGTGCCATCTTTGAGCCAGTGTGCACCCAGACAAACACTGTCAATCCAGGGCTATCCTACATGATTCCTCATATTTGCCCCAGCCATGGCAGAGAGAGGAAATGCCATCTTGCTTTGTGAGCAGGGACCAGAGGTCCCGCTGGACAGGGATTTGCAGAGGCAGAACATCCTCTTCTCCCAGGAGTAGCAAAGGAGCCACAGCAAACTGGCCTGGTCCAAGGTTATAAGTGCAGTGTCCTCTCCCTGAAGGAATGCCCAGAAATGTAGGAAGAAGATTAATGTTCTTGTCCATCTTCTCTCTGATGTGTCATACTCACTCTATCTTTGGTACTGTAACTACCTCCCATCAAGGCTCATGCTCTATCACTCTCAGAATTGCCTGCAACATCTTTCCTCACTCACTGTCACCCACCCCAACCCCCCATTGCCACTAACCCTGTGTACTCAGGACATCTGCACCAAACTTAACAATTTCAGAATCCCCTTCCCCTCCCTCATTTCTGAAGAAGGGTCTAGGCCCGAAACATCAGCTTTCCTGCTCCTCTGATGCTGCTTGGCCTACTGTGTTCATCCAGCTCTACACCTTGTTATCTCAGATTCTCCAGCATCTGCAGTTCCTACTACCTCTATAACAACTGTGCCACCTGCTTTCATCTGCCTCCTTCTCATTCCAGGAAGAAAACAACCCACAATAGGGCAGAAAGAGTCAATATGGGTGGTGGGCTACTTGACATTTATCTCCTCGTGCCTTATGAGATGAAGATGTTGACTCAGACTGCCCTGGCCAGCTGACCCTATGCCTCCAAGCTACTGGAGGCTGCCCCTGACTGACTGTACCAGGACCCTCTGAGTGAAAACTATCACCCTTGACTTGACTGGGGACAATCATGACAAGCTTTCTTTGCCTCTGCAATAAACAATTTCGGCAATCCAGCAGAACTGTGAACCTGGCATCTCTGCTTGAAAGGCATGGATGTTATGACCGTCCAGGTAGGCTCACTGAGTAAGTAACCGAACAGCCCAGAAATGCAACCTTTTCCAGTCCATGAGCTGTGTGCGTGTCCTTCAGCACAAAGTGTCCCTGCTGCAATTTTACAATGATGCTGCCATTTCAGCCTGAGATGCAGCATTGAAGTACAGAAGCGTACTATAAGTGGATCGGAGATATGCCATGAAGATTCTTAGCTGGCACATCAGATGCCAGTGTCAAATGTCAAGGAATGTGGTATGCATGTGTAGGTGCCTATGGAGCATGCAATGATGATGCCCAGTGTCAAATATGGAGGTCCTTTTGGAGCGAGGTAAGCTGAAGCCACCAGGAGTCTGCTCTGAATTCTTGACATCTATATTACTCACAGTGAATGGAAAGATGGTCAGCTGCATATTAATGAGATTAGTTTTATAGCTAATAAGGTTGTTAACAAGCAGTAATTGTTCTTAATAAATAACTCACTGCTGCCTAGAAAGAATCTTGTCAAGATGTCCAGAACATAGTTAAGAAGTGCACCAAGTTGCCCCTGATGTTAAGATGGGCCTTGGTAGACATCTTGGGCAATTCTGCCTGATTTCTTGCTCTAGCCACATCTTCAGGCCCCTATAAGATTCAATCCCATGTATTTCTTTGTCTAAGAACGTGGAGAGAATTTATAGTCTCCTTAAATTCATTAAACAAAATGTACACTTGGCTTGATTATTCAATTATTGATTTTATTTTTAAAGTTTCAGGAAACACTGAAATTCTAAAGCATGAATTGTATTTGCCCCAAAGTACGTCCAATTCCAAAGGCAGTTTTAAGTTCTTTCACTTCTCCATCTTTATAACTTTAAAATAAGCATGATGCGCACATCAATGGGCCATACTTAGCTGTCACAGGCCACTTGATGGCAGCTGCCTTTAGATTTACTTTTTCCTTCATACCTTAGAGTTTCTGACGATTTTCTGTGTGACAACCTGTTGAAAGTTCAAGCTAATTGCACCACAGTGAGAGGGGAAAAAAAAATCTGGTTCTATGAGTGAAGGAGGAAAGCAACTGCATTTCCTGAACTAATGAGATTGGAGGATTGTGAAATCCACATTGAATGGTCTGAGATGGAAATGTAAGCTAAAGTGAGTGAATTGATTGTCACTTCAGGTACAAGAAGAGAAACAGAGAGGGAAAGCAAAATTGGAAAAGAAAAGGAAAAGAGAAAGAAGTTTTTAAAAATTAACCTAAACTCTCACTTTTTAAATCCCAATTAAAACCAGAATCTTTGGATCTCCACACTTGTAATAGTTGATTTTCAGAACTAGTCAATTTGACAGGTAGTAACTCACACTTAGTACATAAGTTTAAAAAAATGAAATGATACTATCTCAAATTTTAGTTCATGTCTACCATACAATAAGACAACTTCATGCAATTCAATGGAATTTAATAGTGAATCAAATAGCAAAGTACCTTTTTGCAAAACTAAAGACAGACAGGCATAATTCAGATAATACTTCTTTGATCTTCAAGTTTAACCCTATAACTGACCTGTCTGAAGTTGCTGTACCATAGAGATAAAAATAATTGCTGGCCTTATTAGCCTCATCATTATTTTGACACAAATTTTGGGCCAATAACTTGGATTGATATTCTACATTTAAAGTAGAAAGACATTGCAGAAGCATAATCAGACAAATGTCCTTACCAGTTAAAGGAGGAGGCATGGAAGGGTAACTGAAAGAGGTGTCTATTAAGGAAGCTTTTAAAGGAAAAGAGTGGGCTTGAAAGACATAATAGGAGGAAATGTGAAAGCTTCAGGCCTGAAGGAACAGAAGCTAATGGTGGGGAATAGAAATTTACAGAAGCCCAAGAAGCCAATGTTGGAGGAATGCAGAGTTCTTGGAGGATTATAATTCTGTTAGAGGTTACAAAGTTAGGGAAGGGCAAGGTCAAAGTGATTTCCATGCAAGAATGAGAGTTGTAAATTTGATGTTTTGGGGATTTGAGAACCAATGTAGGTCAGACAGCCAGATGTGATGACTGAGGGGAATTGAGGCAAGGTATGATACAGGAATGATAGAGCTGAAGCTAACGGAGGATGAGGGACGCTGGTCTGGAGAGAATTTGTGTAACTAAGTCAGGAGGTTCCGAAGGACCATAAGTACAGCAATAAGCTATCCAGCCCCTTCTAACATTTCAGTTGATCTCAACCAAGCTGCCCCTTGACACCATTTATCCACGTTTCTTCCATATCCCTTGAAATCTTACCTAAATAACCCATTGATCTCAGTCTTGGAAATGGAAATGATCTCTGCATCCACGGAAGTCTGAGAGAGCAAATTCCAAATTTCCACTAGTCTCTTTGAGAAAATTTCATTCCTTGTGTGACACCTCATCAGATATCCTCTGGATGTCCTTATAACCAATAATGATAGACACCCACCTCATTACAATGCTGGTGACGCAGAAAATTCAATTCTATCAGCGAGACCTGAACATGGGGTTTAGTCAGAAAAACTTCAGTCAGAAGATTCTGACTAAGGTAGCTGCAATTTCTTCACCTATTTCTTTTAGTGTTTTGGATGTGAAATAATTAGTCCTAGAAATATGTCTCTCCTAACCCTATTTACTTCCTCATTATCAATACTTTATAGTTATTAAGGGAAGGTAGCTAAGTAATTGTATGAGTGGTCCACTGAAGGCCAATAATGGGGAAACTGCCAATGATAATGGGGAACTGGCAGACATCCTGAACAAT